TTTATAAAATATTGCTCCGTCTTCGAACTTGAAATGAAAATTGTAGTTAATATTTCAGATCTGCGTAACTTCAAAAAGTACAATGTCTTGCTTATAATATGAAGGAAAAATAGAAGGGAAGCAATTTAAAATAAAATGTTATTAAAATATTAAATAATTAACTAGATTATACCAGATGTCACAGTGAGGTAGTTGAATGCTTGCACCTGTATATAAAATCACTGTGAATGTGATAGTTATGCAGTTAGCTCCTGTATCTGTGGGTTAAATCTGCATTCTCAGATTTAACCAACAACAAATCAAAAATGCATGAAAAGAAATTGTGTCTGTATTGAATATCTACTTTTCTTGTCATTGTTACTTAAATGCCTATTTATATAGCATTTATATTGCATTAGTTGTTGTCACTAGTCTAGATATGATTTAAAGTATATGTAAGATGTACATAGATTATATGCAGTACTATACCACCATGTTTAAGGGACTGAGCATTCACAAATTTTGTTGTGTTGGATCCTGGAAACCAATGCCCCATGGATACCAAGGGACCAAGTATATAAGCTGATTGATGTAGTGTTGTATTGGTGATGTAGATACCAAAGTAGTATTGACATTGATGACACAATTTTCCAAAATGGTAAAGAGCTCTTAGTAAAGTTCTGAAAAAAACACATGAATTCATGGTATGGTTGCATTTTGGAAAATGCAGGATATATTAACACTGTGAAAAAACACATTTTGTATACATGTAAAATTTAGTTAGGTTCCAGTTTTAGATATATTCAGTGGAAACTAAAAATCATGCAGGATTCATAATAGTTCTTTGCAATGAGTATATAACATTGCTGGACATCTACTATCCCTTACACATGTCTTTAAATGCTGCTAGTTCCCCTAGTAATCCCCCAAATGACTTCATAAATATACAAATGGGGCTTTTGCTACTACCTTTGAGAACTACTGATTTTTATATATCCAGCTACATTAATCTACTATAGCTGTATATGTATTTATATTGCTTTGGAGTTTTAAAATCAGAGTAACTTTTAAGTGTCCTTGGTCCTTAAATATGGTATGTTTTGAATAGTTAAGACACTTAAAGAATTACAGAAGTTGATTTGCTTGTATGCTTTATCGTCTTATTGCAATGCTATAAGCAAGTCAATATTTTTGCTATTTTCAGTCTTCAAAATTCTTCAATTTCTTTATTTTTCTGCTCTTCTTGTCCAGTAAGGTAGGAGTATATAACTTAATATCATCATTTACTTAGTTGGAGTCATGTAATGTAATTTGTTCCTTTAACAAAAGACACTTTTTCATTTGGGAAGGTAGTATAACAACATTAAAGAAACTTTGTAAAGTGGAGGAAAAATTTCCCATAATCATACCATCCTAATACTTAATATTTTTCAGTATTTTTWAAAAAATATATATTTATTTTAGTTGTAAATGTACCCTTATTTTATTTATATGTGGTGCTGAGACTCGAACTGAAGGCCTCACACATGCTAGGCAAGTGCTCTACCACTGAGCTACAACCCCAGCCCCTCAATATTTTTTCTTTATGTATACATTTCAACATTCTTAAATAAAAACATTAGTTTTATATCTATTCCCTTAACATGACACAAGTTTTTATTCTTATATTGCTTTGCAATCAGTTAAATTACTGTATCTTGTTCTATTAGATTCTACAATTTAAATATTTTCTGATCTTTAATTTGTTTATGTTATAAAAATGATTGTTACATATATATATACATATGTAATTTTTATTGATCTGTTTGAGTTTATGTTTTTCCTTTAGAATAGATTTTCAGAGGTGAAATCATCTATTGGACCCATAGACTTGAACTTTCTTGTAATTTTTGTTAAATTTACCAAACTGACTTAAGTAAAGCTGATCCATTTATATTGCTATCAGAATACATGAGATGTCGATGTATGAAAGTATCAGTTTCACCTATCCTTGATTGTATTAGGAATTCCTTTAAAATTATTTACATTTATTGACTATCAATGACATAGAATATTTTGCTTATAAACTGTTTTCTCTTTTGCAAAATATATGGTCATGTCTTTTGACTATTAATGTGTGAAGTTCTTGCTATTCATTTTTTCCTTTTTTGAATTTTGGGTTAGACCTTTTAAATAATGAAAACTTTAATTTTCTTTCAGTAATTTTTGTGGTAAACATTCATTCTTTTTCCATCTTTGATTATTTTATTTTCAATTTTTTAATATCTAGAAGTTTTACATTTTTATGAAACATAACAGTTATTTACCCATAGAGGATAATATGTGATATTAAAGAAAAAACATGGGAWTGACAGTCAAAAAAATCAGGATTCGGGAAGAAGATATTCATAATTTTGTGTTTGACAAAAGACCTAATATCCAGAATGTAAATAAGAATGTTTACAAATATCAGAGAAAGGACTATAATCTAATTCAGAAATGAAGAAAAGCCCTAAACTAGCACTTTATAAAAGATATCCATCTAAGCCATCTGGCACTACCTATGGTGAAAGAATGCAAGCTGGTTTGATACTACTTGTGCAAAACATATTTAAAAACATTTTGAAAGATGTATTTCACTGTAGAGCCAGATTTAGATGAAATTTTGCTTATCTAAAATATAGAGTGTGTGTTAATGTGGCAAATTTACATTTTACTATATTTAATATAGGAGAGAAGTCAGTTTTTATTTTTCCTTTGTCCTTATGCTATCTTTAATAGGAAAGTATTGTTGCAGATTCTTTGCCTTTTGAATTTGTTAATTTTTAAAAAATATTTATTTTTTAGTTGTAGTTGGACATAATATCTTTATTTTTAAATTTATTTTATGTGGTGCTAAGGATCGAACCCAGGGCCTCACACTTGCTAGGTGAGTGCTCTAGTGCTAGGTGAGTGTTCTACGTAGCGCTGAGGCACAGCCCCAGCCCTGAATGTTAATTTTTGCTATCAAGTTACAAAATATTCTTTAGAAAAATGCCTTCATGAGAGATCGATTTGAAGGTGAAAATGCTGCAGGTGTCACCAAAAAAAGCACATTAGAAAACCCCACATAAAACTTAAATACATGTGTTATTTTTCTTATTCCWCGCCATAGGATATAATGTGAATTATTTTTAAAAAATATTTATTTTTTAGTGGCAGTTGGACACAATACCTTATTTTATTTATTTATTTTTATGTGGTGCTGAGGATCAAACCCAGGACCTCACAAGTGGGAGGCTAGTGCTGTACCACTAAGCCATAACCCCAGCCCCATGGGAATTATTTTTATTGTATCAAAGAGAACAATTCTAAGAAATTCTCTCATGCCCTGTTACTGATAAACCTGTTTTAGATGTACATCTCACTTAGTTATTGTGCAAGTTTTCTAATGTTAGTGGCTACTCCTGGTTATTCCTCTGCTTGGTTGTTCTCATTTCATAGAATCTACCAAAAAAATACAACATTGGCATAGCATAATTCTTTATACTTTTAGGGACATCTTTTTATATAATTATTCATTTTAGATTTTCTTAAATCCTTTTTAATTATGTAGTACATTTTATTCCTTCATGGCAGAAATAATCTTCCAAACTCTCCCAGTTTCTCTCTTTCATGCACGTGTGTACACACACACACCCCCACCCTTTTTTTTCCCCTTCTAGAGTAATAGCTATTGTCATAAGATTAGGATACACCACTAGTCAACCTGTCATTCCTTCCTTACAACTTATTTTCCCTTGACCACTTATCTAACCCTCATAGAGCATATTATTGTTTTTTGAGACAAGTTCATATCCCACACACATTTTTCTTATATAAATCATAGGTTTCATATTGCCCCTTCCCCTCTGGCCTAAACTACCTGTTTTATTTATTTATTTATTTTTAGGATGTTATTTAACATCATTGGGTAGTTCTCTAGCTGAATAGTCTTTCTGGGTCTGGAAACTTTCTTTACCTAAGAAATGTCTTCTCATGAATCTTAAGTGTCTCTATATTCAAATCTTTCTTTACTTAAATACTCCTGTCATGATCTTTTTCTTACGTATATTTAAATATTTTTTATTCAAGAAGATACCACATACACATAGCACACTCTAGGCTGGGACATTACTCTGTCAGATCTCTTAAATTCAAGACACAAATTATTCTTTCTGGTTTCCTACTGAGACACATGGTCTACTTTTTTTTTTTTTTTAAATAGTATTTTAATGGAACAAGAATTGTGCCCTTTTCTGGAAGAATGTAAATGTTCATTGCATGTTAAAGGGCAGAAAATATTTATTTTAAAATTCCAAACACAACTAGGTACTGTAGCACACACCTATAATCCCAGCTACTCAGGAGACCAAGGCAGGAGAATTGCAAGTTCTAGGCCAACCTCGACATCTCCGTGAAACCCTGTCTAAAAATATAAAGGATTGGGGATTGTATGTTAATGGTAGAGTATCCCTGGTTTCAATCTCCAGTACAGCAGATAAGTAAGTAAATAAATAAATAAAATTTCAATACATTTACTATTGCAAAAATGTAGTAGATTCAGTTTAATATGCACCAGTAAGGATGTGGCTCAGTGGTAAAACACTGAGTTTAATCCCCAATACAAAGAAAACAAAATTTGCACCCGTAATAGAACACAGTGTCTTATACTTTATTTTTATGAAGAATTTTATTACTACACCTTCTCCAATGAAAAGAGTTAGTTGCTAATTTTAAATTTTAGACTACCTTTTCTCTGATAACTTACTTTTACCAGCTATATTTGAAGAATTCAAACTTCATTTTATTCTAGGTAAACACTTAATGAGAAAGGAAAATACATTCCTAACATCCAAATATAAATTGCTTTTGTGTGATCTCCAGCTGTAGATTAAATTAACCATATTGTAACCTTTTGAAGGGATAATTGAAAGTGGACTTAATAATAAAGACAAGAGGGGAAAAGTCATGTCATATATAAATATAGATTTTGATGTTCAGTTCATCTATGTTTTGTTTAGATGTCCCTGGTAGATTTGGGAAAGAAGCTTTTAGAAGCGGCACGAGCAGGTCAAGATGATGAAGTTCGTATTTTGATGGCAAATGGAGCTCCTTTTACTACAGACTGGGTAAAGAATAACTTTAATGTTGTGGTTTCTTCTTTTTCTGCTTCTCATTTTTGACTTTTTCCAGATAAAAAATTTGTCAATACTTTTAAGTGGTTAAAAAAACGATTTTTTTTGAAATTTGTTTTTATTTTTTAGAATTATAACTTTTAAAATAAATGGTTCATATAATTGTCTTTGATACTGGACAATTTTATGTGAGTATTCTATCACCAAAGTTTTTCTTTTAGGCTTTGAAGTTCACTAATATGGGATTAATATAATATGTATCTGCTTAGGATTTAAATTAAAGGTCTTTTAAATAACACAGGTAAAATTATAATCCAGAACATAACAGATAAAGATAGGAAATGTAACTTCTAAAAAAGAAAAAAAAAGTTTGTATTTCAGTTGATAATTGTACAACCTATTATAAACATGACCTAAGGGGAAGAAAGGATTTTGATCACTTTAGATCACTATAGAAGGCGATTGTGGGAAGGTTAAAAAAAAAAAAAAAAAAAAAAGAAACCCTAAAAAAACAAAACCCAAATTCCCCCAAACTGTTCAATTCCAGGGATAAATCAAAAGGCATGGTCTTGGGAATATAGAGGACTTGAAATCTGGATTAATCCTCTGTTAACAATTATGAAGTCCGGATTTTGATTTTTTTCCCCTTTTTTACTTATCCCCCCTTTTTTTCCATGTAATTTTTTTTTATTCTGGAAAATTTCAGGCATAAATTTCAATCCCTGCATAGCCTTTATCTCACTTAAAAAATATTAAATCATCATGGATCTTGTTTCCTTTATAATTGCATCCACTTCTTTTGTTTTGTGTTATTTTGAAGCAAATTCCAAAATCCATATAATTTCTTCTACAAATATTTCAGTGTCTGTCTTTAAGAGATAAAGATTCTTTCATTAGCTATTTTCAAGAAAATCTTAAATGTGCTGCTAAATTAGAAAGAAAGGAATTGTCAACCTGAAGAACTAAGTGAAGGCTGGAACTCAGAGAAATTTTCCCCTAGGAACATTTGCTGAGTGTAGACCTATTATTGGTTTTCCACTTCACTAGTATGGGGTACTGAAGACAAAGGGCTGGGGCTGCTCATGGAGAGAGAGATCTGATAGGAAATCCCTCTCTCCATAATTCTGTAATCCTAACAAGCTGCACCTTCAGCCTGTAAAGGTAAATCAGAAATACCCTCACCTTTTCATGTGATAGGGTGCTACAAAGAAAATGACCTGACTTGACCCAAGGGACTAATAGAGAAAAGGAAAATTTTGTTGATGAAAATTTGGAACCACAAGCCATTCCTTAAATGTGTTTGCACTTGAACTAATATAACCCAGAGATTTGAGTAGCCCAACAAATCTTCAGCAGGATCATTTTTGTAAAAAAAATAAATCCATATATAAAAACATTATAGTCCCCTGCAGGACATGTGTTCATCTGTAAAATTAACTAGGTGATTCAGAGAAATGAGATTAGGGAGGATAAGTCAGGAAGGAGATCAGGGATGAGAAGGTTAGGGAAAAGAAGATCAGGGAGGAGAAGGTTGAGGAGAATATCAGGGAGAACATGGGAAGTGTGTTCATCTGTAAAATTTGGGCTAACAAATGCCTCAGAAACTTCACATCTCCCACCCAATATTTTCTAGGCAATTTAGTGACACCATTTTAAATTCATTCCTTGAAGGAATGATCTCACTGGGGAAGTTCCCTAAAGTTATTTACTAAACTGGCCTGGGACCTCCTTGCTGGAATTCCTGATAGTGATGAATACTTATTGGTTACACCTTGTTATCTTCATGGAGGATTGGGGCACACCATTGGGTCCTCTGAAATCTGTTAAAAACTTTGATCATTTTGGCCAATGAGATACCTTGTCCATCTAAATTTATAGACTTATCTGGACTCCTTGGCTAAGGTAATTCTAGATAACCCTATGGCATTAGACTATTAGCCAAGCAAGGGGGAGTTGTGCTATAGTTAATATGTCTTGCTGCATTTATGTTAACACCTCCTCACAGGTGGGGACCAGTATTGAAAAGATCAGGCAGTGAGTAACCTGGCTACAACAGATCCTTGACCACCATACTTCCCTTATGGATGGGATGGGGACAGGCCTAACTGACTGGTTCTCTAGCTTTTTCTCTTAGATACCAAAAGATACTAAGTCTATATTACTAGGTCTACTCTGCCTCATTCTGACTACCCTGTTCATCATTGCCCTTTACTGCTCTGTTGCTGTTCCATCTTTGCAACTATGCAATAAAAACCCATAAGATAGAATGGCAACAAATAAAAAGTCTCCATTCTAAAGATCCCCATTCATTGCCCGCTTTCAGCAGGAAGGAGCTTGGAGATATCGTCACCCTCTTTCCATAGAAATGAAGGCTAGAAATTGACAGTGGAGAAATGTAACGGGTTCAGTTGATGATTTGAGTATATCCCTTGTCACTTTAAAAGCTCATTTCTTTTTCCAAACCTTCTTTTCCCTGACTTTCTCCCTGATCTTCTTTTCCCTAACCTTGTCCTCTCTGATCTTCTCCTTCCTGATCTATTCTCCCTTATCTCATTTATCTGAATCACCTCTTTAAAAACCTCCTGTTCCCTATAATGGGCAGAATCGCAGGCTCTGGGACAAGGAGTTCCCTGTGTTTCCCCTTTGCTTGCAAAGCAATAAAACATTTTCTTTTTCTTACAACAACAACAATTAAAAATAAATCTTAGTGATGCTATAGTACATCAAGACAAAAAGGTTATAAGAAGGATTAGTATCCATAGTACATAAGGTATTCCTGTGGGTCAGTAATAAAAAGACAGACAAGGAAATAGAAAATAGACAAATGACTCACTGTGATACTTTCCCAAGAGAGGGACTGACCAATAAACATGAAAGGATGATCAACTACATTAATAACTGGGCAAATAAAAGTAAAATTAAGAAATACTTCTGTACTGGATTAGCAAAGATTGCCTGGCAGTACAAAGCCTTGGTGAAGAGATGTTGAATTGAGAACTCTCTGATACTTCTGGTGGAAGTTTGAATTGGTAGAATTGTTTTGGAGGACAATTTTGCAGTACTGAATAAATTTGAGCATGTGCATACCCCTGTGACCTATCAGTTGAATTTCTACGAATATTTCCAATAGAAGAAAATCTTATTCATATTTCTGAGATACACATGAGAATACATTAAGCAGCATTGTAATCCATAGTAACAAAAATGGAAATGATACAAATATTCATCAGTATATTGTTTAAATTAATTGCGAATTACTCACTAAGTAGGATATCATAGAGAGTTAGTGAACTATGTTTGTACTCATTAATGAGTGAATCTTAAGAACATAGTATTAAGTAAAGGAAAACAAGTGACAGAAAATACATACAGTATGATTCTGTTTAAAAAAAATTCAAAATGGGCAAAACCAAAATATATTATTTAAGAATGCATAAATGGTACACAGAAAAGCAATGTTTGTCACAAAGTTTTGAGTATTATTTATCTCTTGTCTTTGTGATTAGAGATTGTTGTGTGGGAAGATTTTAAATTATTGTCAGTATTTTACTTCTGGATTGTGGTGTTGACTTCACAGATGTCTGCCTTTTTTTCAACTACATGTATGTATGTGTGCATACACAGATATGTGTGTGTGTGTGTGTGTGTGTGTGTGTGTATATATTTCATCATCAACCAAAAGGGGAAATGCTCAGGAATAAAACAAAAAATACAAAGTAAGCCTTAATATCACACTAAGAAAGAGCCATAGTTGCTCAATGGATTGTTGAAGTACTTAAAGAATTTAGAAAAGAGTTTGTTTTAGGAAAATATGACAAAGCATGGAGAAAGAAAGGATTGTTCAGAAATTTCCTTTGTTCTACTAGAATGATTTTTCCATTTAAAAATGCGTGTTTTTGTAGTAAATAATTTCAATTTTTATCACATATTGAGAGCACATACCTAACTTTGTATTGTGATTATTTGTTGTATGACTTCAGGCAAATTAGTAACCTCTTTGTGCCTTAGGTTCTTTTACTGCTAAATGAGGATAGTAATAGTTATTTATGCTATGAAGAGATTGAATGAGATTAGTATGTGAAGTTCTTAGGACAATGTGTTCAATAGAAAGTGATTAAAAATTTTAGGTGCTTTTATTACAGTGGTAATCTGAGCAAATTTCATGTTCTAGTGAAATATATGAGCTCCTTAGAACATCAGTGTTTTGATAATCAAGAGTTGTAGGGATTTTCTGTGCTTCTAAATGCATGTGATACAACATTTCTAAATTTTTCTCATTTTAAAATTTCCTTTGTACTTTGTGGATATCAGTTTAATGGCTAGATACTGTGGATCCAATTTCAGAACTGAGCTCTGTTTGGGTCTCTCTGGACTTAACTTTGACAAATGCACTTCAGATTTTTCCTTTGAGAAAAGACTACATGAACCCCTTAGAAAAGATCATTGAGATAGTCTTGTTTATGTATATTTTTAAAAACTGCAAAAAGTTTTGACCTAAATTCTACACTATTAAATTTATTTGAGATTAATTTTATAGATGAAAAGAAGTTGTTATAGCAAGTTTTGTATGACTGGTATAAAGAAAATATTCTAATATTCAGAAAAATTCTCAAACTTTAATTATCTCTAATTCTTAATGAAGTTAATTTTATTTAGGTTGTTATTTACAGAAATTTTGAATTAAAGGAAATGCTTGACTTTTCTTCCTCACTGATAAGACCTCCATGAAGATATGATAAGCTTAAATCTAGTAATTCATTTTGGATTACCATATATACAGATATTAACTCATTACTATATAAATAGAAAATATAGCATAAAAATTATAGTGATATATTAAAAGTAATTATATATTTTTTATTTTTATTTTTTTGTGGTACTAGGGATTGAACCTAGGGACAGTACTGCTGAGCTACATCCCCAGACCTTTTTATTTTTTATTTTGAGACAGAATCTCACTGAGTTTTCCAGCGTGAACTTGAATTTGGGATCCTCATGGCCTAGCCTCTGGTGTAGCTGGGATTACAGGCATGTGCCACCATGTGTAGCAAAAGTAATCATAAATTTGGATTTTTTTTTTTTCTCTCCTGTGGTACAGCTGGGAACATCTCCACTTCATCTGGCAGCACAATATGGGCATTATTCCACCACAGAGGTACTACTTCGGGCTGGTGTAAGTAGGGATGCCAGAACCAAAGTGGACCGAACACCATTACACATGGCAGCTTCTGAGGGCCATGCCAGCATAGTAGAGGTTTTGCTTAAGGTATGTCTTCTTTTTTTGGTCTTTGCTATTGAAACTTCTTATGGGTTTATAAGAAGAAGGAGAGAGCTAATTTTATCGAATGCCTACTTAGTGTTTTACCTGTGGTGATATTCTCTCTCTCTCTCTCTCTCTCTCTCTCTCTCTCTCTCTCTCTCTCTTTTTGGTGTATAAGCCCATCAGATGAAAATTAAATTTTTCTTTTGTGAGGGGAAAACTTTCTCTAGGTATATTCTTAGTTAAGTCAAACAATTGAAAGTCCTTAGGGTAAGGGACAACAACAAGTTTGTCAATATAGTCCAAATGCCTATGGAAGGGAACATTAGGCTTGGATGATTAACAGATTGATAGGTAATATAAATGGGGATTTACCTTTAATTATCTAGATGCAAAAATGTGTTGTAGAAAATTTTGCAACATTATTCTTTTTTACATGGGATGCGTATCAGGGATTGAACTTAGTGGCACTTGACCGCGAAACCACAGCCCCAGTCCTATTTTGTATTTTATTTAGAGACAGGGTCTCACTGAGTTGCTAAGTGCCTCCTCATTGCTGAGTCAGGGTTTGAACTTGCGATCCTCCTGCCTCAGCCTCCCAAGAAGCCAATGGGATTCTAGGCATGCGCCATCACACCTGGCAATAGTCCTTATTCTTGATCCTTTTTATTCTGGTCTTTAGATGAACCTATCCAAAAGAAATACAACGTAAGCCATGTATGCAAATCACATGTAATTCTAGATATACTTGTACCTGCGTTCAAAAAGTAAAAATGAATATTATTTTTGGTCCAAAATATCAGAACATTATAATTTCAACATGAACCGATCTGAAAATTATTGAGATAATTTACATTCTGTTTCTTTGGTACTAAGTCTTTGAATTCCAATGCTTATTTTACACATATAGCATATCTCTATTCTGATAAGCTATATTATAACCACCTGTGTCTACTGGTGATTATACTGGATAGTGTACAGCTAGATAGCTCCCTTCTAATTGCTTGTACGTTGTGCTGGTTTTGAAAGCAAAGGGTGATTTTGTGTAAATGAGGAACTAGGGGATCAATTCTAATACAACATTAAAAAGAGTTTGGAGAAGTGCTCATAGTTTTCCTTCACTTCTTATGCCATTCCTGTTCCTTCATGCCTGTAGTTGAGTAACTAAAAGAATAATTGCCGCGGGGCTGGGGATGTGGCTCAAGCGGTAGTGCACTCGCCTGGCATGCGTGTGGCCCGGGTTCGATCCTCAGCACCACATACAAACAAAGATGTTGTGTCTGCCAAAAACTAAAAAAATAAATATTAAAATTTCTCTCTCTCTCTCTCTCTCTCAAAAAAAAAAAAAAAGAATAATTGCCTCATTTCAAGAAATGAGAAGGAAAATAGTAGAAATATCAGCATGAAAGAAGAATGATAAAGGGACAGATAAAGGGTAATTGCTAGAAAGCATGTTTAACACAGAAAATCAACTATGGTATTTGTTCTTGCTTCAAAGCATAGTGACTAGTATTATCATGTCAGGAATTTTTGTTTTCCATGTTTTAGCAATCTCTCATTTTGAAATATTTTTTGTAGCATGGTGCTGACGTTAATGCAAAGGACATGTTAAAGATGACAGCTCTGCATTGGGCCACAGAACACAATCATCAAGAGGTGGTGGAACTTTTAATCAAATATGGTGCTGATGTACACACGCAAAGTAAATTTTGTAAAACTGCATTTGATATTTCAATAGACAATGGAAATGAAGATTTAGCAGAAATATTACAGGTAACTTGGATTTTAATTTTAAGAAAGCAAACAAAAGGAAGCTGTTTAGGTAGATGGATCTCTATGTTGTAGATTATTTAAAGCTTGTAGCTTTTTATTTTGGACTCAGTTATTTTGGACAGTCTTTTTTCTTTCATTTCCTCTTAGTTCAATACTATTCATTTTCCTGATGGTAAGACCTCACAGTCTTTTTATGTAATAGAAGATTAAATAAGGTGATTACTTTCCTGTGTTTTCAAGTTTCTGAATTACCTTCTAGGTAGCTTATTTTATTAATTATTCTTGCTGAAAAACCAAATGGATTTTCAAAGTCTGTTTTAAATTACTTTATAAAAATTAAAAAATAAATAGCAACTGTAATGACATCCTTTGAGTAAGTGATGCTGTCTTTATCATTCAGATTTGTTTCTTTTATTTTCACTGTCCTCAAAAAAAATTGTTTGTGGGGCTGGGCATGTGGCTCAAGCGGTAGCACGCTTGCCTGGCATGTGTGCAGCCCGGGTTCGATCCTCAGTACCACATACAAACAAAGATGTGTCCGCAGAAAACTAAAAAAAGAATATTAAAAAAATTCTCTCTCTCTCTCTCTCTCTCTCTCTTTCTCTCACTCACTCTCTCTTTAAAAAAAAAATTGTTTGTGGACATGGGTATATTTGGCTTTTCTAGTAACCAACATGACTTCTTTTTTCTTCAGCTAGACAACATTGATATTATATTTTCTTTGTTTACTGCCTCTTCTTGTCTATCTTCTTGTTCCTCCCAGTGGAACTGTCGTCTCTGACTTCATTTAACTGAGTTACTTAAAAGCTGTTTTATGTTCAGAAAAATAAATTTTACCATGCCTTTTCCATTCATTTGTATCTAAGAGTTGAAGATTGGGAACAATTTGAATAATTCTTATTTCCACACCCATAGAGCAACAGGATATCTTTCAATCTCCTGTTTTCCTGTGCTCTATAAAAGCTTTCAGATACCCATTTCTTCTCTAATAGAATTGTTCTGCTTTACTCAACAGGGGATTAAAATATATAAATTTATATCTATGTTTTAATACTACACTCTCAATGTTCCATGATCAAACCATTTCCATTTGTATTATGTTTCTTCTTAGAGAATGCGCCTATAAAATCATATTTGTATTACATTGAGAATCTGTACCAAATATTCTGACTATAATTCTGAAAGCACTGTGGTGATTTTTTTCCCTAGATTGCTATGCAGAACCAAATCAACACAAACCCAGAGAGTCCTGACACTGTGACGATACATGCTGCAACACCACAGTTTATCATTGGACCTGGAGGGGTGGTGAACCTAACAGGTCTGGTATCTTCAGAAAATTCATCCAAGGCAACAGGTATTGAGATGCATATAGGATAGCTGTTGGGATTTTATGCATTAGTAGGTATCATCCTTTTAAGCAAGGACTGTTGAAGAATAAGGGTAAGATTATATCAGTCATCTTGGTTTCTTTGGTATTAGCCATAAACATTTTTCTGAAACAAAACAATCTAAAGAAAGGTAATATTACAAAATGTACTATAATATTACCTTTCAAAAACTAATGCCTCCAAGCATAATTTAAGAGTTGAATAAAATAAAACAATATGAGAAATATACATTGGTTTAAATTCCTTAAAAATTCAAATCTATTTTCTGTTTTCTCATAGATGAAACGGGTGTGTCTGCTGTTCAGTTTGGAAACTCCTCTACATCAGTATTAGCTACGTTAGCTGCCTTAGCTGAAGCCTCTGCTCCGTTATCCAATTCATCAGAAACTCCAGGTTAGAAAAGCAAGCCAGATATGTACAGTAAAAGGTGCAGATTCAAATACTTACAAAGGTTGGGACGGTAACATGAAAAACAAAACTAGGCAGGGTTGAGATTATGCCCAGTTAAAAAGTGGGGCCGGGCAGGGGCATGTACTACTCAGCTCTAGCTGATTATAGACATGTCTTCTATGTTTCTAGATTCTGTTTTTTTCATGGGAAGCTGAAAATGTGAACTTCAAAAGAATATTAAATTTTGACAACTAATTAAAATTAAAAAACAAACTTGTATGCTTTACAGAAAGCATGTCTGTTTACCCAAGTTGGCCTTTGTTTTATCAATTGGTGACTTTTTGYTTAAGTAGATAAATGTATATGAACTTACTATTTTTTCATATACTTAATTTTTGTCAGTTCTTTTAGAATGCTACAAAGATCTTAATGTCTGACAGAACTAAGAGATAGTGTATAGAAATTACTATTAAAGGGTTTCCTGTTAAATGAGGATGTGCAGTGTTGGTGAATAGCTGGTTCAGATAAGGTTTGCCTCATACTTACTTAAAATATTTCTTACTGTAATTATTGTGTAAGTTATTTTTAACTAGGAAAATTTTAAAACTCCAAGAATAGTCTTCTTATGGTAGTTCAGGCCATTGGGTTTGGATTAATATTTATAAAAGTAAAGAATAATTTATTGTCATTTTTTAAATTAGTGTTTTTTAAAAGTTTAATAATAACAGTAGCAAGTCATTGACTGCTTACCGTGTGCAAGGGCACCACTGTAAATTTTTTACCTATGATTTCACTGGATCCTCACTGAAAAGCTTTAAGGTAAATAATTTTGGATTTTTTTTTTTTAACTTGGAAGAAAAATAATTCCTACCTTTTTCTTTTTTTCCTTTCTTTTTTCAACTAATTAGTAATTCTCCAGCTTCTTACATCACATAAAGTTTGAATCTAAGTCTTTTTATTTGGGAGTCTAGATTTTTCTGAATTATTTTTGGCCATTAACAGTTATATGCATCATCATGTTTGCATATTGCTTTTATAATGAATGTATGTCTGGCTCTTTTTAGCACCTTTGTAAGTACAGAAACTATCAAAGAAAGTTGATTTCTGAACGAGGCGCAAAGGTCAACATGTGTGAGGCATTGGGTTCAATCCCTAGCACCTCAGAGAAGAAAGAAAAAAAAGAAAAAACCTATTTTATTGGTGGTTTCTTTTTGGTTAAACTTGAAAATATTGTTAATTAAAATGCATCTACCTTGCCAGGTGTGATGGCGCATGCCTGTAAATCCTGGTGGCTTGGGAGACTGAGACAGAAGGTCACAAGTTCAAAGCCAACCTTGGCAACTCAGAGAGGCACTTAGCAATTCAGCGAGACCCTGTCTCTAAATAAAATACAAAATAGGGCTGGGGCTATAGCTTAGGGGTTGAGTACCTCTGAGATTAACCTCTGGTACAAAAAAAAACAAAAAAACAAAAAAAAACCTCAAAACAAAAAATGCTGGGGATATATGTGGCTCAGTGGTTGAGCACCCCTGGGTTCAATACTTAGTACCAAAAAAAAAAAAAAAAAAAAAAAGCATATACCTGAAATTCAATAGCTTTTCTTAAAAGTCAGCTAGAAGTTCTGACATTTAGATTTTTAGCTCCTTAAATTGGTTATACTAACCTTTTTAACTTCTCCTATCTTTGAAAATTTTTATGGTCTAGTCTGACAGAATTTCAGTTGACTTTTATTGCATGTGACTTTACAATCTTCTATGAGCATAATAACTTTTCATTTCAATGCTATATCATAATAGAATCCCTTTGAAGAGATTTTTAAGAGCTTGAATTAAGTAAAAGTTCAGTTAAGTATATTGCCACCAATACTTATGTCACAATTCCGCTGAAGTGTATATCTTCTTACTCAGTTGGTACCTGCTTAGGCAGTGATAAATCTGCCACAAATTATTTTTTTTTCATTTTGGCTATTTGGTTTCTTTACCCAACAATCATTACATTCATTTTGATTTTAGAAATATGTATTTTTCAAGAGCATCTAAGGATCTGCAAAATGTATTAGAAGCGTCTTCATTTTACATATGATGAAACAGATTTGTGAAGGTTGAATAGTTTTTCCTAAGGTCATGTGGCTACTAAGTAATGAACAGAGGCTTGTGGTCAAAGTCTGACAAGTTCACAAGTTATGTGTCTTTGACCACTATATAGTTTATTTATTTTTTCCTTCTTTTTGGTACCAGGGATTAAATGCATGTGTGCTTAACCACTGAGCCACATCCCCAGCCCTTTTTTATATTTATATTTTATTAGAGACAGAGTCTAGTTGAGTTGCTTAGGATCTCCCTCAATTGCTAAGGCTGGGTTTGAACTCATGATCCTTCTGCCTTAGCCTCCCAAATCACTGGGATTACAGGCATGCAACACCCTGCCTGGCTGTCAGTATTCTCTTTCTTATACGTTTCTTTGGGTGATCTGTGGACTGGTCTCTTTTGGAATGTTTGCAATAGAAATAAGTACTTGTGTGGTTATCATTTTGTCTCATATCAAGCAAAAATGATCACTATTCCTACTTTTACTTCAAAGATGTATCTGTAACTTTTTCTGGTAATAGTTTATTGAATTACGTGTTCTGTTCCTGTCATGCCTTTTTAAAATGATTGTGGACCAAATATAGTGTAAGAACTATGTTTACACTAGTTGTTACTTCATATGTGTGTGTAAGTCTTGCACTTTCATGACTACAGTAGAACCATTTTTGGCATATAAAACAAATTTTAATGTTAGTCCAGTGAGAATCTCATGAAGTCTATTAAAATGCTTTTGTTGCACAACTAAATGATGGTGCTATCTTCTTGATTTTATAAATAAATAGAATTGCAGTTTGTCAAGGCTTGATGATTGGAATATCTCACTGGATTACTGTTGTTCAGAGGGAACAGCTGGAGTTGGGAAGAGTTTGTAGAGGGGTGGGTGTTGAGTTGCTGGCCCAAAGAATGGATAGGAACACATTCCAAGCCATACTACTTTGGAAGTTATTTCATTTTGAAAACCATTCCTAAAATGAAGAGACAGAAGAATAAAAGCTGTCTTGGAGATTGCAGGCACATTTTTCCTTTAGGAAAATGGAGTACAGTCTTCATAAACAGAGGCAATCACATTTTCTTGTCTTTCTGCCATAGGTTACAGGCTACTCTGGTGAGTCATGGAGTCTTCCTAAAGGATTAAGTAGAAATTAGGGAAAAGTTGAGGGAAGAACATATCAGGAGGAAAGACATGTGAAATTTTTGAGACAGAAAGAGCTTATATTTTCAAGGAGACCCAGAGTCCAATGCAACTGAACCCAGTGAGAGGGAGAATAACATAGGGGTTGAAAGTAAGATTATAGAGAACTTTAAAAGTGATCATTTTGGCAGGCATAGAAGACTCTGGAAGGGCGTTTAGTTAGGAGTCTAATGCAATCAATTAGGAACAACATATAATGGCAGCATGAGTGAGGATTTGACAAGGAGACAGTAAGAAGTGGATAGATTTGAGACTTATTTATGTGTAGAATTAGAAACTGTAGTTGCCTAAGATGTAGGTTTTGCAGGATGTGGTAGTGTGTGCCTGTAATCTCAGTGACTTGAGACTATCCTGTCTCAAAATTTTAAAAAAGGCTGGAGAAGTAGCTCCATGATAAAGCACCCCCTGGGTTCCATCTCCAGTGCTAAGGGCTGGGAGGAGGAAGGTAGGTTTTATCTTTGCCATGTAAATATCAGGTTCTTTTAAAATACCATTTCATGAAACCCCTGTTTTATACTTCCAGCAGTCCTTATCATTCCTAGATTAAATAGAAATCTATGATCACTCTTCTTTTTGTCTTCAGAGCAACTTCTGCTAATTGCTTGTAAGATGGTATTTCAAAGGTGTTGTAATATGTCAGGTAGCGGCTGTAAGTTCCTTCCTTTCTCCCTAATGGTGTAGTTTAACAGGTACCTACCTGTTAACATATTGGTTTTTGGTCTGTTCCTAACAGGGTAATAAAACTGAATTGACTTTAGAGGCATTAGTACCTGGGCCTCATGAGGTATTTTTTGTTTTTAATTTCAGGTTTGATTGCAAGCATAATATCTTTGAATGTTATTTTTTCTTCAATGAAGTTTTTATTTTATTGTTTAAATATTACAGATAGACTTTTCAGTCTTTTTCAAAGATAATTTTCTTCCCTGCCTTATTTTAGTTTTATGGCATTATAATTCAAAAGTCATGTTGAATAAGAGATCCCAACTATTTTCAAAGGTGCTGTAGATTATTAGCTCTTTTTAAATATTAGAGCTTGACTTCAGAATTAGATCAACCAATATTTATGAAATAGCAGTTACTTTTTATCCAAGGTTTTTATATTTTGGAAAAATATATATATGTGCACATACATATTATATAAAATCATTTTTAGAATTTTTAGGCTTTCTCTTTTATTCTTAAATGTTTCAACATTTTATTGTTGAGTTATTCTTAAGGTTGGGGGAGGGTGCTTTGTCTTCTTCCATAATTAGTTTCCTTTTAATTTTTTCTTAAATACCTTACCGTTGCACAACTTGAAAAGAAAGCTTTTTAGATGAAAGACAAGAACTCTTACTTTAATGACAGTCATTGTAAATAGTGCAATGATGAAAGTTGAGTTGTATCTTGATTGCGTGTGATCTCAGAAATTTCTTATGATTATACTTTAAAATATTACTACTTATATTTAGTATTCAACCAGTGAACATTTCTTTTTCATATGGATATTTTTTAAAAAAATCAAAGCAATAGTTAATGCATTTGAAAGCCTTAATAGTTGTCCTATTGARTATTTTTTTATTTAGTGCCCTGTATTTTATTTTGTAACTATCTTCCTGAAATTTCCTTAAGTGCTTCGTGATAAAATTTAATTATAGTTTAAGGCAAACAAAAATAATGAAAGCACTCAAAACAAAGGTTGTTTGCATTTTGAGGGTTCTATGGTTTGTGTTGTGATTCTTGATTATCAAATAATGCTGTGACAAGGTGGAAGCCAGGTCTGTTGCCACAAGTTTGTCTTCTTGAAAACTAGGATCCCGGCATTTATCTTGCCTAAAAAAAAAGCATTCCATATATTCATATATTTGTGGTCTTTCTCTCTGAAATAAATGCAAAATCATTTTTATCCATGATGTTCTGCTGTGAGTTGGTAGCAACTCAAGAGCAAATGTTATATCTGGACAGTAGCTTGATTTGGGTAGAGAAAGCTTTTATTTAATTGCTCTTTGTGTAAGTGTTGCCTTGAGTAATAGGTTTTTAAAAATGTTAWTTAGAGGGGCCGAGGTTGTAGCTCAGTGGTAGAGCACTTGCATTGCAAGGTGCTGAGTTCGATCCTATTACTTCCTGTTTTCCTTTCTTACCCAGGCCCCCATTTGTTTGTTTGTTTGTTTCGATCCTCAGCACCACATACCAACAGAGATGTTGTGTCGGCCGAGAACTAAAAAAAATAAATAAATAAATATTAAAAATTCTAAAAAAAAAAAAATATTTTTAGTTGTAGATGGACACTGTGCTTTATTTTATTCATTTATTTTTATATGGTGCTGAGGATCAAATCCAGTGCCTCACATGTACTAGGCAAGTGTTCTACCACTGAGCTATAACCCCAGCTTCCCCATTTGTTTCTTAATAGATAGATGGAGGTCAAACACTTTCAGAGGAACACAGTGATATTTTGTAACCTCTTATTGCATCATATCATGAGGTACATAATATCAGGTGGACTTGATAATGGCATTTGGTAACTGCCAGGTCTTTAAAGGTACTCTTTCCCCTTTGCAACCAATGTTAGTCTTTGGTGAAATACTTTGAGAATATTTAAATATCCTGTTGTCCCCAAACATTTCACCAGTGCTTTTATTACTCACTAGTAATCTTTGCTTGAATCAATTATTATATTAAAGTGATTTTTTCAAATTTGTCATTCTTCGATAGATATCTTCTGTCAAGATCTTTGACTCCCCCCTCCTTTGTTTTTACAAGATATATGTATTTTTTTAACATTTATATTTTAGTTGTAGGTAGACACAATACCTTTATTTTTATGTGGTGCTGAGGATCGAACCCAATGCCTTACACATACCCCTGAGCCACAATCCTAGCCCTACAAAATATTATTATATAGAGATTTTTAAAAATTCATTATGAATAATCCATTCACTATTATTATTCCTTTTGATGCTCCTTTATTGAAATTAACATGTACATTGGAAAGTCCATAGACAATAAATGTCCAATTTAATGAATTATCACAAAATAATCATTTCTGCATAATGCTTCCTCAATTCCTAAATAGAAGGCAGACAGTGTATTTAGTTTCATGCCTGTTTTACATAACTCAGTATTGTTTTTATCAAATTCATCCATGTTTTGCATGTAGACATTTTAGTTATTATGTAGTATTCCAATATATGACTCTACCACAGTTTATTTACTGTCAATGAATATGTAGATTATTTCTAGTTTTTACTATTTTAAAAAAGCTGCTATGAGGGATGGGGTTGTGGCTCAGTGGTAGAGTGCTTGCCTAGCATGTGCAAGGCACTGGTTTCGATTCACAGAACCACAAAAAAAAATTGAAGATATTGTATCCATCTACAGCTAAAAAAACCCAAATTATGAATTTTCCCATTTCATGTCTTTTGGGGTCAGTAGTTGAATATAGGATTGCTTGTATAAAAGGATCTTGGCAGTATTAACTTGTGATTTCTTTACTCAGGCAGAGCCMGAAATGCTGTTTTTAGTTGCCAGAATCCTTTGAGCCTCTCAAATTACTAAGAGCATATTTTGGGATTTTATTTATGTAATCTTCAATACTGTTTTGTTCACTATCATGTAGTACCAGATCTGTATGCTGCTTATTATCAAAGCAATCCTTGCTCACTCAATCAAAAAAGGGAATACTATTTATTCTGTATATCAACTCATATGTGTAAATATGAATGGAATATAACCAATTTGAATTATGGAATTTTATTGAGTAGACAGAACCTTTGTCATGATTTTAGAAGATTTTATACATTTTGTACCTTGAAAAGAAGAGAAACTGTTTATTTAAAYGCACTCATGAAGGTAGTTGAAAGCCAAGTGTAGTAGTACATACCTATAATCCCAGCAACTCAGAGACTGAAGCAGGAGAATCCCAAGTTTGAAGCCTGCCTGGGCAACTTAGTGAGAGCCTGTCTCAAAATAAAAAGAAAAGAAAGAAAAGAAACTATTATTTTAAATTGCAGCACTTGTAATCCAGCCATTTACATTGAGTTTAAAAACTGTAAAAGTTGTCCTGCATAAGAAAGAAGCAGAGAAAGCAAAAGTAGCAGAAGAAGCAAAACTAAATATCTATTCATACTGCTAGATATGTACACTGATTTTTACTTTACTTTTTTTTCCCCCCCAGTAGTGGCCACAGAAGAAGTGGTTACTGCAGAATCTGTGGATGGTGCAATTCAGCAAGTAGTTAGTTCAGGGGGTCAACAAGTCATCACAATAGTCACAGATGGAATTCAGCTTGGAAATTTGCACTCCATTCCAACCAGTGGAATAGGTCAGCCCATCATTGTGACCATGCCAGATGGACAGCAAGGTTAGTAGTGGACATTTACTTAAAGTTTGTGTTTATTTTTAATTTTCAGGAAATTGTGATATATTTATAACAGACATGATTGCCTAGTATTTATTTATTTAGGTTAATATTAAAATTAACTTACTTTTTCAGACTATGCATCAGGTGGAAAGAAATTGGCCCCAAAGTATTCTGGTTGGAAAATAGGCTTAAATATCAACACAGAAGTACAGAAAATAATTCAAAGCAGCACTGGACAATAAATTCGCAGGCCATTTTATACAATTGGAATATCATGTGARCTTTTAAAAATACCACATAAGGAAAACTACTGAAAAACAAGTCCCTGTAGTAGGAATATAGTGACAACTTTTAGAAACTTTATTGTGAGTCCCCTCTCCCCTTTTTTCTCCTTGAAAACCACAAAGAGTAAAAAATAGATGAAACGAAAGCCTCAGCTACATTTTTAGTGAAACTGAAAGGCTGAGAAAACCTCAAATTCCCACATTTTAAGTTTTGTTTATTGTTCAAAACATATAGGACCCTTGCAGCCAGGACAAGAGGACCCACATGAAAACCCACAATGGTTTATCAAGGAAAGAGTAGGATTGAGCTCAGAAATCACCAATAAATATACATTCCGATAAGAATAGAGCCTCAGCATGAATAGGGACTGTACATACATGGCTAAATTAGAATAAGGAATGAATACTGAGGAGTCAGAGAGAGAAGGTGCAGAAAGAGTCTATTTGATCAAGCATACCCTTCAGTGCCAAAGAAGTATGTACACAACAAAACCTTTAAGGAAATGACCAGAATTGTAAAGACAGTGCCTCTTCATGGGCAGTGAAGGAATTGGTGGGGGGGCAAGGCTAGAGATAGAACTTCTAAGTTGGGTTTTGTTTTGAGTTAACAGAGGAGCTGTGGCACTAAAGAGAGACCAGATTTCAAGAAAAAATTTTGTTGCTATAGCCAAAGAAGAGGAAACTCTTGACCTATGAAGCTTGGGAGCTTTTCTCTCCCGCTCTGTAGACATCCGTTGACAGCTGGTCCAAGGTTTGGATTAAGCCCAGATGCTTCCACAAAAGCTTTGAAGAACTAATTTTTTTCAAAAAAGAGGAAAATTTCCAAATATTTGTATAAAGCAGATATAAAATTGTCTCCAAAACCTGACATTTACAGACTAACCATTGATGAACAAATAAAGGGAAATATCCATGCTTTTCAAAGTGAAGGCTCATTATCGTAAAACTTTCAATTCTTCCTGAGTTAATTTATAGTTGTAATATGTCATGAAAAATGGACTGTTAGTTTGATAGGACTGTTACAAAACAGACTGGGTGACTTAAACAATAGAAATTTATTTTCTCTCATTTCTGGGAGCTAGAAATCCAGCATCAAAGTGTTGTCCAGTCTAGTTTATTCTCAGGCCTCTTTCCTTGGCTTGTAGATGGCCTTCTGGCTATATTTTTTCACTTAATTGTCTTCAGTTTTTTTGTGTTATATGTGCCTAATTTTCTTTTCTAATGAGGACACCAATAATATTAGACTAGGATCCACCCATAAGTTCTCATTTTACTTCAATCTCTTTAAAGGCCTTATCTCCAAATACAGTCACATTTAGTGTTCCTGGAGGTTAGGTCTTTAACATGAATTGGAGTTGGGAGAGGAGTTTACAATTCAGCCCATAGCAAAGATCAACAGGTTATTTCCCCCTATAATTATGCAAATGAATTTTAAAATTTATGTTGATAGGGAGAGGGGGAAGGAAGAATAAGGAAAACTCTGGGGGGGGGGGAGCACACTGGGAAGACCTTACTAAATATTTAAATAAAAATTTAAAGCCTCCCTAATTTAAAAATGTATAGATAACATGAATATGTAGAGTATATAGACAGTCCAGTGAAACAAATACAAATTCTTAGTTCATCATGAGTGAATTCATAAATGTAATATGATAGAAAGAACATTCTTTTCTTCTCAGTATTTCTAGTGTTCTAAATTTTATTGTTCTCAAATAGAAATTTTGCCATTTTCTAATTTCTGTTTACATTTATAAGTGAAAGGGAATTTTTAATTTTTAATGTTTTGACAAAAATTTAGAAAAAAATCATAGAGCAACTGTAATTTTCCCCATTCATCAATAAAATTGTTTTGCAAGGTTTTTACTTGTAAAAACATTGCTGTGTAAAGCAATGACAGCTTTTCTAATATTTACATTTATATAAAGAGCTACAGAGAAATGGTGACAGGAATGGGGATGTGGCTCAAGCGGTAGCGCGCTTGCCTGGCATGCGTGCGGCCCGGGTTCGATCCTCAGCACCACATACAAACAAAGATGTTGTATCTACCGAAAAATAAAAAATAAATATTAAAAAAAAAGAAATGGTGACAAAATCCAATTGGAAAATAAAGTTTATAAACTGTATTCATAATGGTGTATCCATATGATGAAATATTATGCAGCTGAAAAAAGGAAGCTCTGTATATTAATATAAGATGCTGTAAATGTAGGGAGTGAAAGAAGATAATGTAGAACAACATATTGTATATATGTTTGAATGTAGGCATTGTATGTATGCTACCCATATATTTTCATGTTTATTTTTATATAAATTAATATAGGAATAATATACAAGAAAGTAATTGGTGGGATTATGTTAGTGGGATGGGCATGAAACCTCACAAAATAAACTGGTTAAATATTGTTTTGAGTTTGCGACATATTAATAAATTATCTATAAAAGTTTTTTTAAGTAAATAATAAGTAGATTTCAGTTAAAAAAAAAACAAGAAAGCAAAAAAGACAAGTACAGACCTTTTCATAAAAGCAAATCAGTATGTTGAAATTATTGTTTTGGAATATACTTAGGTGAGTAGCATCAACAGTGTCAAGACTAGTTTATTAATTCTAAAGCTATCTGAGAGAACGAAGTAATGTGTACACCTTTTCATTTTAGTGTTAACAGTACCAGCAACAGACATTGCTGAAGAAACTGTTATAAGTGAAGAACCACCAGCTAAGAGACAATGTATCGAAATAATTGAAAACCGGGTGGAATCTGCAGAAATAGAAGTAAGGAGTCTTTTACCCGGTGTGTTTTGCGGCAGTCATCCAAAATAAATTCAATTTATTTTTCTTTATTATTATTATTTTGTCTTATATATTTATTATTGACCATGTTGTTTTTATACAGAATGAAAGTGCATAGTGTTATCACTTTGTTTAATTTTTTTTGTCTTATACATATAGTAAGCTCTCAATAAATAAATATTGAATGAATGAATGAGTGAGTAAAGCATTTGTTTGTAACAGAGTCTGTCATCCTGATAACATTGGGACATCTTTGGTTCTTGCATTCCATCCTTTGTTTTCTGTTAAACTTATACCATTCTCACAAGTCATTAAAGGAAAATGTCACTATATACTGACTAAAAATTCTTTTTCTTTCGAAAATGAAATGCAAATGCTTAATTGGGCTAGGGGGCTGTTTTAAAAAAAGGTTGATGTTTGTTGGATGGGTTGTTTTTAAAAGCAATAAATAACTTTTTATTTTACCATTAAGATCTTGAGGGAAATTAATTTAGATTGTTGATAGAATTCAACTTCTTTTTTCCCCCYGCTCTCAAAATAATTTGTGTAAACCAGTTTGTAGGTGTAACCAAACCACAGCTACCTCAGTKTTTTCTTTGCCACGAGTATTAATAAAATTATGTTCCTTGAACTTACGAATAAAAAAAGAGTTATTCTTGAGAGTTACTTTGAAAGAGAAACTGTAGTGTAAACAACATTGAACATGACATCAGAGAATCTGGGTTTGAATATTATCTCTTGATCTGTCAACTTTTAGGCAAGTTGTCTTTCTTGGTCTCATTTATTTAAATATTTATCTCATTTTAGGGTTTTAATGAGAATTTTAAAAGTCAACATACTCTTTATATATATATATATATGTATTGGTAGTATCTGATATGTGTATAGTAAACTTGATGAGCCTTTAGTAATTCTTTTAAAAGATTTTTGTTATCAGAAAAAGGAGATATTTAAAAATACACTTCTCATATATATCTTTTATTGTTGTTATATTTTTTATGGTACTAGGAATTGAACCCAGAGGTGCTCTACATTTCCAGCTCCTTTTTATTTTTTATTTTTAGACAATTCCATAAGTATGTTTTAAAACAATGAGTGTGCAGCCTGACCCTTATGTACAAGCCAGCGAACATTACTGTTTCCCTCAGAAGTTCATCCTGATTCCTCTCTTATAATTTTTCAGAGATTAGGGAGAATGATTGAAAATAATAGGAAAGTAGGAATTGAGGTATTAATACTAGGACCAAGGAAAGAGAACTTAGGGTGATAGTTTTCGCTTGAATAAAGAGGAGTATTTTTTGTTTGTTTTATTTTTAATAGAACTTTCTAGTAATGGAAATCTTATTTTTTGTCACTGGAAATATTCAAGCCAAGGCTACATGACCTCTTAAGGGCTATTACACAGAGATCTTGACATATACAGTGAGTATAGGTAGTAGAGGTGAGCTAGAATTAAAGAATGAAGAGATGGCCTCCAGTGTTTATATCAAAACAGGTAATCATTTTTCTATAATACATAAAGTCATTCTTTTGAATTTATATTCTAGCAGACTTTTACACTGATTTCTTAAGTAACAACTTGATTGTAATCCAAAGAGTTTCTGTTAAGCAATGATTCTCAACTGGAGCAATTTTAACTCCAGGGGACATTTGGTGGTGTCTGGAGACATTTTTGGTTATGACTAGTGGCATACAACTGGCATTTAGTGGATAGAGACTGGCTTGACACTTTGCAATGCACAGGGCAGCATTTTGATTCATGTGGTCTAAGAATATTCATAATGATGAAATTTAAAAACTTGTAAAGGAATTAAAAGATTAACATATAGAATCTGATGTGTGAGTTTTATGTCTCGTGTCCATAATTTCCAGAGTGACTGTCTGTAACAAAGGTGCCAAGAATTTTGTGTTTACAAGTTTTCCATCCAACAATGAAAAGGTTTCTCCGGTAATCTCTGGGAAAATTAGTTCAAATTGTAGAAATTTTATTTTAAATTTTTTGACTTTTACATCTGCATTGTAAAAACATAAAGGAATGAAATGAGTTTGTATTTTGGAGGGGAAAATAGAAGACATTGAATGAATTCCAATAGTGTATGTAACTGTTACTACCTCTTGATAATATTACTCTATTGAAGATATTGTTGAAGGAAGTGTACTATTTACAGATTTCTTCCATAAATAAGCAACAATATCCTGATCTGAACTGAAATTAACTCTTGTATACATGGGAGGGAGTTAATGTAATTAATTAGTGAATTAGGTTTTCTCTTATTACTTACATAGTTATGTGAATTCAGGAAAGACCTTTGCTTTCTTTGTCACAAAGATTAGTGAAAAGTAAGTTTAACAATGAATTTTGTTTGTTTATTTTTGAGGTTGGCATATGTTTTTTTCTTCTAGTAGACTTTTTTTTTTTTTTTTTAATGGTGTTAGGCAGCTGACCCAGGGCTTTTTTTATGTTAACACTCTACCACTGAACTACATCTCCAACCCTGTTATTTTTAATGAAATATTTGTGTCTTTTAACCAGGGGTGGATCAGGATCCTAGTGCTCTTTTAAAAATTGACCTCTGTAAGGTCARTGTTTATTATAATTTTTTCCAATCTGTTTTTCTTTTATTAACAGATCTTTCTTGATCTGTTAAAATTTTAAATTTTCTGTAGTTGTGTTTCTTCTTGATAGTTTGTTTCTCTAGGACCAAAGAAGACCAAGTGTTTTTGTAAAAGGACCAGATTGAAATTTTTTGACTTTATGAGCTGGTCTCTGTTACAGCTGCTCAGTTCTGCCATTATAGTGAGAAAGCAGCCATGGACAATATGGAAATGAGTAGGTGTGGATGTATGTCAAGAATAGTTTGTTAATTAAAAACAAGATAATATTTGTTATAATTGAACCAAGGCTGCAAGAAAATTGAAGTTTATATACAAGCAAATAGCACAAACCTGGTCTAGTTTTTCTTTAAAAAAAATTTTTTTTCTAGTGTTTAGGATTTTTTTTTTTTTAAATAAGGGTCTGGAATCAAATTTAGGTTTAGATTTTATTTAGTTTTAAGTTATATATATATATATAAATATATATGTAGATATGCATATATATACATATTTTTATTGGAGATTGAACCCACGGATACTCTACCAGTGAGCTACATCCTCAGTCCTTTTTATTTTTGATTTTGAGACAGGTTCTCACTGAGTTGCTTAGGGTCTCACTAATTTTTTGAGGCTGGCCTTGAACTTGTGATCCTTCTGCTTCAGCCTACTGAGTTTCTGGGATTGCAGGTCTGCTCCCCCATATCCAGTTACTTTGTAATTTATTTATTTATTTATTCTTTTTTTTWAATTTATTTTTTAGTTGTAGTTGGACACAATGCTTTTATTTTATTTATTTTTATGTGGTGCTGGGGATCGAACCCAGGGCCTTGCGCATGCTAGGCAAGCGCTCTACCACTGAGCCACAACTCCAGCCCTGTAATTTATTTTTTATTTGTTCTTTTTAGATATACATGACAGTAGAGTGTATTTTGATATGTTATACATACATGGAATATAACTTCCCATTTTTGTGGTTATACATGATGTAGAGTTACACTGGTTATTCTATAATTTTTTTGATTGTATGATCTTGGTCAAGTTATTTAACATTTTAAGGCTTGGTTTTCCTATCACTAAAAATGGAAAAACAGTAGGACCTGCAATGTAAGATTATTKTAAGGAGGACTCTTGCAAAAGTGAGCATATAGTAAATGCTTACTTAAATGTTAATTGCTATTATTTTTCATATTTAAGTATGGTAGAAGATAAATCACTATAGTGATATTTTTGGTTTTATAGTAGCAAAATGTAAATTGAAATATTAGAAAATTATATATTAAAAATGATAAAAAGTGTTTGAGATCATTGCTGTTAACTAAAACAGAATTAAAGAATCCTGTTTGAAAATAAACCAAGCTCAAATCTTTTTTTCTTTTTCTTTTTCTTTTTCTTTTTCTTTTGGTACTAGGGATTGAACTCAAGGACACTTAACCACTGGGCTCTATCCCCGGCCCCTTTTATTTTTTACTCTAAGACATGATCTCACTAAGTTGCTTAGGGCCTCACTAAGTTGCTGAGGCTGGTCTTGAACCTGGAATCCTTCTGCCTCAGCCTCCTGAGTTGCTGGGATTACAGGTGTGCATCTGGCATTCAATTTTTTTCTTGTCCTATCATTTAATTATTTATTTATTACATTAGCAATAAATGTAATAATAACTTATTGCTTTGGTTTGAAGTTGTGGCTTAGATAAATATATTCCTTATTGCCACTACATGTTGATTATTATCAGGATTTTTTTTTCCTTCAAATTCTTCAATGTTGAGATGTTGACAGAAAAATCTTTTTTTTTTTTTGGTTTTGTTTTGTGCTGGGGATTGAATCTAGGTCCTGGCACATGTAAAGCATTGTTATTATTTGTCACTGAGTTGTAACCCCAATCCCTAGAAAAACACTCCAGTATTACATATTTGGAGACTAAATTATGTTTACTTTAAAATGTCAGAATCATTTTCATTGTAGTTTTATTGCAAAGGATTAAACCATTTGTTTGGTGTTTCTATTTAAATATAAATCTCAAATGTCAGTCTCTTGCCACTGTTAATGTTTCGAACAACCAACTGTTTGCATTAAGGAACTGTCTTGCATGTGATGTATATTCAGTAAATGTTTGACAAATTAGCAGGGAAGCAAAGACTCTTTGTAAAATAGAAAATGATGTTTTCCACTTTTCAGAGATTATTACTTGCTTTGAAAAGTGAGGTGGCAGAAAGACTCTTTTCCTAGGAACTAAGTAAAAAGGGAAAACACCATAAAAATTTATAATGTTAATCATACTTTCAGTATATTCAAAGAACAGTGTTAATGAGCATTGTTTTTCAGATTTTACAGATCTGGTCAAAAAAATCCAGTGTAAAAGAAGTCTTTTGTTTGGCCTGGTAGACAGAAGGGAGCTTTCATTTTATTTATATTAAAATAATATTCTACTTTTTGGGGATGGGGTTAGTAGTAAAGCACTTGCCTAGCATGTGTGAGGTCCTGAAGTTGATCCCCAGCATGAAAACATAAAATTTGTATATATGCATTCACATGCAAAAACAAATATGAATGTGAATATACATATTCTATTTATAATAGGATTAAAGTATTGTCATTTTTGGACTGTTTTACCTCAGTTTATTTGCATCTTCTGCAATGATAGTGAATCTCTTGCTGAGTCTAAATATTAATAAATAGATAATAATAGAAGATACTTTAGGTTTAATATGATATAATATTTCCTACTAAATTGGGGCAGATTTTTATCTATATTCTAAGTTTTGCCTGCGAAAGGACTTTCTTGCTTAATATATGTAAAGGTTTTTTGTTGTTGTTGTTGTTTTGTTTTAAAAAGAAACTTAGACAGCACATGAGGTCCTCTGAGGTGCAGTTGAGACTCCTTGCTTTCTGTGCTCTGAACACATGTAAATTTCTAAAATACTTTTTCATGATTGAGAGTGTTCCTTCCAGAGAAGTGATATCTAGCTCCTGAGGCAGCAGTACACAAGCCATCTCACCCTCTATCCCTATCCATTGGTAGGGATAAAATCCTTCATCATGTGCTGGGGTACTAGTTTTCATAATTTACCTGAGGCTCGGCTCTTGGGTATTTGGCTTGTTCCTATGCTGTCATTCATCTTTGCTAAAGTTATGGTTAGAAAGGGGTAAGAAGAGGGTGGCTAAGGTATAAAGAAGCATCAGGGTAGGCCTGGTTAGTGGTAAGAATCATTCTTTTATTATACTTGAACACTTAGTGTAATTAGAAGATTTGGAGACCACTTATATAATCAGTCACTCCCATTTCTGGCCAGCCCATGGAAAAAATAAATGTTGGATCTAACTTCATTCTCAGTGTAGGAAAGGAGGCAGGATCACAGGAAGGCAGGTGGATTGTATATGATCCTTCTTGTGCACTATATGAAAAACAAAGTGAAGGGACTCTTTTGGTGTCTTTAGTGAGCAAGTATCAAGGAGGCAGTGGATATATAGGAACAGACCCTTATACTGCCCTTCTAGCAGGCTGCCCACTGCTCACCTTCAGTTTCCTCTAGTCAAATTTCTTGCCCAAAGTGAGCCCGAATTTTCTTGATTTATAATTCTACCTCACTAAGAGGGTCCTGCATCCTGTGATGGGGTTGATTTATTCCTTTTGTTTGATACTGAGATTCTAACTCAGGGGTGCTTTATTGCTGAGCTACATTCGCAGCCCTTTTTATTTTGTATTTTATTTTTTACTTCAAGACAAGGTCCAACTTGTGATCCTCCTGCTTCAGGTTCCAGAATCATTGGGATTACAGGTGTGCACCACCACACCTGTCTAGGTTGCTTCATTCCTAAGATAATGGAAACTTTCCTAGAGTCTGGGCCTATGCAGGTTACCTCTTTTGTTTATGTGCTTACAAGAGGTATGGGAAAGGAATATTTGAAATGTTTTCCCTAAAATATATAATATGATATAATATATAATATATATTATATTACATATTTAATAATAATATAATGTATATAATACATAATATATGAAGTAACTAATAGGGGCCGGGTGAGGAGGAGGAAAAACAATACCATTATTCATTGGATTGGATTTGAACAATACCATTATTCATTGGATTGGATTTGAACAATACCATTATTCATTGGATTGGATTTGTTTTTCAGCTCTAAATTTATTGAAGAATTTAATACATATATAATGATAGAGATCTCTATCATTACCTTAAGATGAAAACATCACAAATATAGATATAAAAAGGTATAGTTGTATAGTTTTCTCTTAAAACTCTGCTTTTTTGTTTTGTTTTATTTTTAGTTTGAAACAAAGTCTCATTGTTTTAGTCAGGCTGACTTTGAACTTGAAGTTGTGATCCTCCTGCCTCAGCCTCCCAAGTGGTTGGGATTGTATGTGTACAGCACTGTCACCTGGCTCTTTGAAAACTTCTTAAGTTTTTATAGTACATATGAAAGTACAAATACCCATTTGGGTTAGTCTTATTTTTAACTCAGAAATTTGAGATTAGAAAGTAATTTACATCTTATAATGTGGAGCAAAAAAATTATGATTTAATTACTAGTGAAATTGGTTGAAAAGGTAAGATGTCTAGGAAATATCAATAGAAATCTACTATGGCTACTGCAGATTTTCTATGTGAAAGAAACATGCTTGAATGTGTTAGTAATGTATTTGACCAATAATTGAAAAAAAACTTATTATTATTTTTTTAATTTAGGAGAGAGAAGCTCTTCAGAAACAGCTGGATGAAGCAAATCGAGAAGCACAAAAATATCGACAGCAGCTTCTTAAGAAAGAACAGGAAGCCGAGGCTTACAGACAGAAATTAGAAGCTATGACTCGTCTTCAGACTAATAAAGAAGCTGTTTAGTTAAAATGAACATGTAGTTTGATTTTACTTTTGGTCAAGAAAGAATGCAATCTTGAACTGTATACAAAAAGAGTACAGTCATGGAAATACAGGAAATAGAAGAGACTGCAGATCAATAATTGGACTTAAGCCATGAGCTCTGAATTCTTGTATCATAAACTTTACTTTAGAAGTTGTGAAATGTATTTAAAACTGAACTCTGTAAATAGTTTTTTTTTTTTTTACAGTTCCATGAGTTGATAAAAGATTGTTGAAGAGATCCAAAAACACAATAAGCCACTGTTATTGAGCTTCTTTTTGATTTTTAGTATGAACCTAAATTCTCAGAGACAGAACAGTTTTAAGGGTGATCGTTGTTGATTAGACCAAATGTTGTGTAATAATTATGGTGGACTAATGCTGGAATTACTCCTGTAGGTATAAACTTCTATGTGAAGAAAAGATTTCTCCCAGGAAATCTTTTGTACAGCTTTAAGTTGTCTCAGATTCTCTGAAAACATTTTTTAGAAAGCAAATTTTTATATTTGTTCAATTTCAGCTATACCCAAGTAGATTTACATGTATATGAAGCAAATATTTTTTAAACTTTCTGTTTGTACATATTCTGCATGTTTTATAATTTCAAAATGCATCACTTGCATAGATATTTTTCCCACAAAGATGATGAAAGCTACCAGAAAACAACAACAACACACAAACCTTTTATTCTGTAGGTAATTGAAACCAAGTAAGCTAGCAGTTGGTTTTATTGGAATGACAATGTTCTTAGAAGGAGCAGCTTACAAGATAACTTGAATAATTTGCAAACTCTGCAAAATCTATGCTTTTTTGAAAATTTCATTGTGGGGACGTGAAACTGTATTTGTGCCTTCCATCATGATTTCCACATGAAAGCACTTTAAGGCACTGGATTTTAAGATAATGTTTTTTTGAAAACTCAAATGTATATGGGTTTCTGAAATATTTCATGGACTTATTTTCCCCCAGGAAATTATTCTTATGGAAAAAAATTGCTTTTGTATGTAGAACAAGAACTTTTTGTACTACAGTGATGCTATAGATATGTCTGATGTAACTTACACTTTTCTCTGTGAAAGCTCCATGTCTATGTTGTAACCTGCTCTCATCACAATATTCTTGAATTCTACAGTGTATGGTCCTTAAACTCTGAAGACTGTTCATTCTTTTTTGTAAAACATAACTTCAAGCCCTTTTTTTCTTGCTTTATTTTTTAATGTTTTATTGCTTTATGAAAATGTTTAAACCCTAATAACCCTCTAGATTACCTATACTGTATAAAGAAGCAATTGCCCTTAAAACTGTACTCTGGCCTACTTTTCTATTTTACAATTAAATATCTTTTCCACATATGTTCAGTGTAGACTTATATTTTGACTGTATTTTCTTTATATTAAAAATTCTGGGTTGGAGATGTAGTTCAGTAGCAAAGTGTGCTCAGCATTCATACGGCCCTGGGTTCCACCTCCAGCACCTAAAAAGAAAAAAGAAATTTTATCATACTGTGTTTTTGAGCCATATTCTGCCATAGGAAAATATTTTGTACTTTTCACATGGTGACTTAAAAATCCCTGGGATAACTTCTTGGGCATTTTAGTTCTCTCGGTGGAGTTACTCATGAGTTGTTAATAAAAAGGGATGACTATCAGCCTGATTTTAGTTGCTATTGGGAAGTTCTTAAAAAAGGTTATAAGGGCAAATTAAATAACTCTATAAGGAGGAGAAGAATTTTTTTTCAGTTTTTTTTTTCCCCACTGAATTTGACTTATGTTTTATTTATTTATTTTTTTATTTYGAGATGAAGTCTTGCTGTATCGCCCAAGCTGGTCTCTAACTCCTGGACTCAAGGAGTCCTCCCACCGCAGGCTCCAGATGGCTGGAACCACAGTTGTTCACCACTATGTCTGTCTTTGACATATATTTTGAATTATATAAAACTAAGTTTTAAAAATGACAGGACATATTTTCAATAGCATGAAGCTTTTTCTGTAGTCTGAAAAGTCAATGGAGAATGTCTTTTTGATTAGTGTTTTAATTTATGTTAGGCAAGGTGCTGGTATTACATTCCCATACCCTGACGTACACAGAGTTGGAATGGAGAAGGTCTAATGTGTTTGCCACTGTAGTTTTGCTCCCAAACCAGACTGACCCTGAAAATCCTCAGAACAGTGTTGGAAGAAAGCCTTTAAATGCTAATTTAATGTCTTCTTTTGACTCCCAGCCTTGTTTTGTTRAGACTTTACCTGTGCAAGACATCATTTTGACCTCCAATAACAATCACTGGCATAGATGGTAAAAAAATACTTGGTGCTGCTGAGGAGTAAATCTAATATTAACAAGTATTCAGATATCTTTGGGTTGTTTTTTTCAGTTTTTGTATTGGAATTTGTGTAATTTTTCTATACTGTCTGGACATTGAACTCACTGGGTGTCTTGATTGTGAATTACTTGATTCARTTTAAATACTTTCCTGGGTAGATGCTAGACTCCTAAGATTTATAAATGCTAGGTTGAATTTGTGGTGCTTTCAGATTCCTCATTTGAAGAGGAACCTCATCTACAGGAATCACACTTCTCAACTATTTTTCATTAATTGTTGTTTATTAATATTTTACCTTAAATATTTCCCAAAAAGATTTGTCATGCCATTTGTTTTCATTGGCTGTTAGGAATTGTTTTCTTATATCAATCTCTCAAGATCCAAATAGTAGAATAGTTACTTTGCTTTTTACTCTGCCACTAGATTGCTCTGTTATCTTTCTGGTAGTGGATATTGGGGAGTTGAAGAGCTTTCTCCTTGACATTCAGTAGAACAAAACTAAAAAGCAAAGAGAATTTGAAAAATCATGTCATGAAGATTATTTTGTAATGTGTTTATCCAAAATATTACTAATGAAATTTTATGCCAATATATGTATCTTCAATATGATCATTTGTGATATTATTAATTAGAAATTTGAAGAAATTCTTTGCCCATAATGGAAATTGGTATTTTGATAGAAATAGTTATGGCTGCTTAATTCTGATATGACTTTTTTTTTCCTGTATTACTCAAAATCAAGTTGTTCTGATAAAAATCTATGAGTTACTTTGATGTTATTTTAATACCTGGAAGACCTTGAATGTTGATTTGAAATAAAAATGCAGCAAGAGGGAATTTTTTTTCAGATAAAAATCACAAAGCAATACTAGGAACATTTWTATCCATATGGATGGGTTCCCAAGGCATTAGTACTTAGGCTTATATAGCAATAGAAAAAAAATGTATTTTTTTCTGTTTCACCTGGCTTCTATTGAATAAATAACCTCTCCGTCATGTCAGATCAACTTAGGAATGGACTAACTAGTAGATTTGTTATTTCACTAAATAATATTTACTGTTCTTGGATTTCATTATAGATAACTAGTCTATTGTAGTTTTAAGCGATGTTTGCTATTTGCTTTCTCTATGTTAGATGAGAACACCTGATGCAAGTGGATTCAGTTTGACGTAAGTTCTCAAATTCATTCCCAGATTATTTTGTGTAAACTACAGTGGAAAACATAGTATCACCACTGGAAATATGCCTCTGGTTCCAAATCAATTTCTGTGTGTGTGTGTGTATGTGAGAGAGAGAGAGAGGGAGAGGGAGAGGGAGAGAGAGAGAGAGAGAGAGAGAGAATGGGGATGGAATCCAGGGGTGCTCAACCATTGAGTTACACCACTACCCCTTTTGCTGCTGGCCTCAAAATTGCAATCCTTCTGCCTCAGTATCCTAAGTAGCTAGAATTATAGACATACACTACCATGCCCAGCCCAAGCTACTTTTGATATTAATATTTTTGCTTTCATAAAATTGTTTCCCCAAATGTTCAGATATATAGCCTTCTGATCATTTACACACCTTAAATTTCTTTGAAAATATGTCACTTTAATGATAATCAAATATTGAATAAAATTTGGGTACAATGCCTATGGGCTCTTCATTTTTAGATAAATAACTCCCCCATAACTACCATGTACTTTCTGGAAAAATTTTGACCTGGTTTGTTTCTGAGGTTCTGTCTACCATACTTCTTAATTATGTACTTGGCTTTTTGTTTGAATAGTTATGATCTCATATGCATAGTTGATATATTTTCTAAAATATGTAAATATATAGTACTATATAATACAATTCCATTCTTAGTGGTGATTGATTACATGGATTATAATTTTGAATTTCACAGATTATTTGGATATTGATTTTCTACAAGAATAATATTCTCATATATTTTTGTGCACCAGTTAAAAAATCAGCCAAACATTCATTTTTGTATTACTGTTTTTTATGATTATTCTAGGCTTAGCATCGTTATCATGATTCTCTTAGCTGGGTTTAGTGATACACATCTGTAACACCAAAGGCTCAGGAGACTGAAGCAGGAGGATTGCAAGTTCAAAGCCAGCCTCAGCAACTTTAGTGAGGCCCTAAACAATTTAGTGAGACCCTGTCTTAAAATAAAATTTGACAAAAGGCTGGGGAATGTGGCTCAGTGGTTAAGCATGCTTTGGTTCAATCCCTAGTACCTAAATACATATAAATTTTAAAGTTTTTAAGGATTAAAATTACATTGATTTATTATTTTTCTATAGGCAAATAAGTATTAAGAAGTTCACATTTAAGTGGAAATATAGCTGTCTTTATTATTTATTTATTTACTGGGTATTGGGGATTGAACTCAGGGGCACTTGACCACTGAGCCACATTCCCAGTCCTATATTATATTTTATTTAGAGACAGGGTCTCACTAAGTTGCTTAGTGCCTCACTTTTCCTGAGGCTGTCTTTGAATCCCAATCCTCCTGCCTCAGCCTCCCAAGCCACTGGGATTACAGGTATGGTCCACCACTCCCAGCCAGTCTTGTCTTTAAAAAACTTTTTAATTTCTTTGGTGTTAGAACTCAGGAATTTTTACTATTGATTCACACCCCCAGCCTTTTTATGTTTTGTTTTTCTTTTTTTAGAGAGAGAGAAAGAATTTTTTAATATTTATTTTCCATTTCTCGGCAGACACAACATCGTTGTTTGTATGTGGTGCTGAGGATCGAACCCGGGCCACATGCATGCCAGGCGAGCGCGCTACCACTTGAGCCACATCCCCAGCCCCCTTTTTATGTTTTGAGACAGAGTCTTGCTAAGTTGCTTAGGGTGGTCTTGAACTTTTGATTCTATTGCCCTAGCCTTTGTAGTTGCTGGGATTAATAGGCATGAACCACTATACCCAAAATTGTAGTCTTTAATTTTTCTTTTTTTGGTACCATGGATTGAACCCAGGAGCTCTTAACCACTGAGCCACATCCCCAGCCCTTTTTATTTTTTATTTTGAGACAGATTCTTGATAAATTGCTTAGGGCCTTGCTAAATTGTCCAGGCTGTCTTCAAATTTGTGAACCTCCTGCCTCAACCTCCTGCCTCAGCCTCCTAAATTGCTGGGATAATAGGCTTGTGTCACTGTGCCAGATTAAGTGTAGTCTCTTAAAAAAAAAATTCTTAGTCTGCCACAGAAATAGTTCTTTTTCCAAAAACTTCTACCTAATGTCAAGATTTGGCATCACACACTGAAACATTATGAAATATGTTTATTTTCCTTTTAGAAATAATTCAGTATTTAGTTTTCTGTTTTACTTTAATGAAAATTTCAAACCATACAGAAGGGTCTAGAAAATATTATGAAAACATCCATATACCTATCCTCAAATTTAATAAGTTTGTTTGCTTTTTTTCTTCATTCTTTTAARGAACAAAATTAGGTCCCTTTGTTCTGTATTCCTTGATCCTATTTCCTTCACTGTCTCTTAAAAGACAATCAGAGCTGGTGCAGTGGCGCACGCCTGTAATACCAGCAGCTCTGGAGGTTGAGGCAGGAGGATCACGATTTCAAAGCCAGCCTCAGCAAAAGTGAGGTGCTAAGTAACTCAGATCCTGTCTCTAAATGAAATACAAAAATAGGCTGGGATGCGGCTCAATGGTTGAGTGCCCCTGAGTCCAATCTCTGGCCTCCCTCCCCCACAAAAAAGACAATCAGTACTAATCACTATCCTGAGACACTTCATTCTTTTATATTTTTTCCCATATTTTTTATTGGTGCATCATAGTTGTATGGGATTTGTTTTTACCTATGTGTGCATACACATAATGTTTCATTCTATATACTTTCCAACTGTCACTTCTGATTGTTTGATGTTATAAATTGGATGTGGTGGTGCACATCTGTAATGCCAGCAACTCAGGAGACAGAGATGTGGATCCCAAGTTTGAGGCCAGCCTGGGCAACTTAACAAGACCCTGTCTAAAAATAATCAATAGAAAGGGCTGTAGATAAAGTTTGAT